AAACATCAAGGACGGATAGGATTTTACTGTTTGCTCGTTTTGTTCTGCAAACATGTTAACGCAAACATTTAAAAAAATATGTTCCGATTGATGCGCTCAACGGCATTCTATAAATTTTTCGGATTTTTCGCAAACCTATACAGCAGTTACTGATTTCAAGGTTGTAAGCACTTTTAGGAAGATGGATCTCCTAGAAATAGTTTGGCTTGATTGAAACCGTTCTCTAAGAGCTACCAAATCCGCTACTAGTTTTCCTTCAACAGTAGAAAAAGTGGCAAGCTTTTTTCTGATGAACATGCTAGAAGTTGAATGAACGAAGACGGCCACTCATTCATACGGTCGTAACTCCGATGAAATTACTGGGAGTTTTTCATTTAGAGAAGCAAACTGACAGGAGTGTGCAAAAAGCTAGAACAAAAAATGAATGATGTGTTCGAGAAACCCTAGACGTTTACGCCGACCACCTAAGATTTTTATTTAAAGAGGAACACCTGGCACATGTTGGTTGGTGTGATGAATGGTGTAACTGCACAGCTATCCATCTCATTCCACGTTGTCTATGGAGCCCGTCATCTGTTACATTCATTGAAAACGGTTGTTACATGATCGGCTCGTTTTCGTTAACTAATAAGAGAAAAAAGTTCTTCTATCGTGGTATTCTACAAGTTGAGTAACAATTTTTACCCAAACACCATCGAAATACACTTCTCAGTGCTTCGTCGGGAACAAACTTCTGCCAGGTTTTGAGTGTTCAAATTCATTTGTGGCACTCATGATTCCGTTCACCAACGTCGGTTTTTTTCTGTTTTCTATAATAGGTCATCTCAGCTTTTTCCCAAAGTCTACTGGCTAGGGAAGTAGTTCGCATCAGAATGACATTTTAAACAATACCTCTAGAATATAAATTTGGAAAATCTAATGAGAAAAGCAACCGATCAAACATTTTGTTCTTTTCCCGGAATCAGTTCAATAGACTCTCTGTTTGTTATTTTGTTAAAGGACTCTCACCAGCTATTGAATCTAACACGAGTGTTCGTTAACCGAGAGATTGATTGGCATCAGAAACATGTTTCTCTGTGGTCTGATAGTGCCAGGAGTAACACATGCTTTCTATCAGTTTTACTAAAGGTGCATAGGACCCCATGGAATGTTAATATATTGGAGGTGAATCAAGGAATTCGCAAACTCTGACGGCAAGTAGTCAAACACGAAATCTGAAAGCTGAAATTAGCTGAAATCGAGACCTAGATTGTCCAAACGTGCAATTCAGAGATGACCTCTGAATAATCACTTGTAGCCCCGTTGATCGCCGAGTGACTCGAGCGGGCACCAGCAAATCTTTCATTTTTCCTTAACGCGTGCAAGAGTAGCCCAGTGGGTTCTTTTCGCTCTAGAGACTCGTCGAGCAACATATCTTTCTTCTAGGCTTTTCGTGAAGGACTCTGACCATCGAGTCGATGGTCTTCCTGCAGTGCGTTTAACATCCCGAGGAATCTAGTCACTAATGGCTCTTGTCCATCGGTTGTCATTCATGCACATTACGTGTCCGGCCCACCTCATCTTCGACTGTTTGGCGTACAAAACGATATCTTTGATTTTTGATCGTTGACGCAGGTTCGAGCTTCGGATCCCATCCCTTACTTGTGTGAAACGGGAGACTCCTTGCATCGCCCTTTCGACTGCGCATATGGTAACGCTGAGTGATCATTCATCCTGCTTACGCAGCGACCAGGTTTCTGTCAAATACGTTAGGGCAGAAAGTACCGTTGAGTCGAAAAGGTAGGAACGGAGTAGGATGTTCTTTGTCCTCTTTACTACATCCTCGATGCTCTTGAAAGTCCCCCAGGCCGCTCGTTTCCTTTTGCTCAGCTCTGGAGCTAAGTCGTTCATCATATTGATTTCCCGACCTAGATAGGCATAACTGGAGCATTCGGAGATATTCGTTCCGTTGAGCGTGAACGGGGCACACGAAACCAATCCGTTCTTCATGAATATCGTTTTTGTGAGAATTAGTCGAAGACCAATCCTTCCACAGGTTTTATCAAAGTCGGCAAGCATACGTTCCGCTTGGGTAATGTTTGGTGTTATAAGGACGATGTCTTCAGCAAAGCAAGGATGATGTAATTCGCGACCATCGATTTTCACTTCCATATTACCCCATTTCAATGTTGGCATGACGTTCTGGAGGGTGAAGGTGAATAATTTTGGCGACATGGTATCGCCTTGCCTAACCCTTCTTTTGAAGTCAATAGTTGTAGAATGGTAATACCTTGGTTGTGAAATTTTCGTACAGCTCACGAAAAATGGAATCCCTTGATAGTCAAGGAGTCTCTAGCCCTGAATAAAGGTTTAGAAAAAGACTAACTCTTTGCAATATTAAAGGCGCAAAACGAAGTATACAATGGTACGCTGGTGTTACTTCCAGCTGAAATTCTCGAAAGTGGAAGTTCTGATTGGTTTGGCCGATGGTCGGAAGTACCACGAGCGATGTGCTTTCAGTGTTGAAGAATAGAGGATAATAGGCTCATTTTTGCCCTTCAATATCAAGTTAGCTTTACATTTCATACGAAGCTATTAAATTTCAATGAATGTTGGATCCAGCTCAATCTCTCGGTTATACGAATTACTCATTTAGTCTCTTTTGCATGAATGTTAGGAGGAAAGGAAACGGCGCAGTAGTTAGTGATGCAGTCTATCAGGATGCAAGGCGCAGGTGCAACACTATCCAAACAGGCTCTCTCTATCCAGGTGTGAACTCCTTAACTCGGCTCTCTCCAAGACTGCAAGGAAAATCGACTCGACCCGACATTCTACAGCACTCGTAAAGAAGCCGCAATCCAGAAACAGCATCCGAAAGAACAGGTGAAGTGTTCGAAAAAACTCTATGACCACGAATGAGAGGGAAACGAATCGAATACAAGAAGTGCTGGGATCCATATTAGTAGGTCTGAGTACGATTTATGTAAAAAACAATATACGTGTATTTCTAAAGATCGCCTTCTGATGGATCGCAAGTTAATATTTCCTACATTGTTTCTATTTACCAATTAGGCACATACATCAAGGCTCTAAAGTGAGAACATTTTTATTACAGAATAAATTATTATCTTCACACAGCAAATTATTCGCACCCATATTTAAGATCAAATAACAAATTACCTAAACGTTGTGCTTAAAGTTTGAATAGTAACTTTGGGTGTTTAAGCAACTTTTTCCACTCCTTAGTGAGATTATCAAACAGTTCCTTAAGAGTAGGAAGCGGCGGCAGAGGGGGAGGAGGTGGTAGAGTAGGAAGTCCAAGTGGATTACTAATGTCTGGCTTATGCTCTTCTGGTGCTACCTTTTTTATCTTTTCGTTCTCGTTGATTTCTTGTTTCGATTCACCATCATTGTCAACAGGCGTTCTTTCCGTCCCGACTTCCTCTTCACTGTCATTTTTACTATTTTTTTCCTTCCTGGCATTAATGTCTACAATTGCTCTTTCCGTTCCGACTTCCTCTTCGCTGTCATGGTCTCTTCCTTCTGAACTCGCTGTTATGAACTGTCCTCCTTCGTGATCTTGCGACTTTTCGTCTGGTCTAGAGCTCATATCATAATCCTCTGACTGCCTATTGTTGCCTTCTTTCGATGCGTTTTCTTCTTCAGTTTTTTTCCGTTCCTCAGACTTAAGCAACATCAAGTTCATATCCACTGCCTCATTTGCCTCTTGCAGCTCACCAACTTTTTTGACGGATTCTGTCCTTTCATCATTCTCTTTCTCCTGCACAGTTTCAGATTCTCCACTCATGATCTCATTCTTATCGTCAAATTCTTTCAACTGTACCGTCCTCGCTGGAGCTTCTTCTACTCTCACTGGCGTGATTTCATCATGGGCACTCTTCTTTTGTTCTTCCTGAGTCTTTTCCGACGGCATCTTTTCCTCTGTTCTCTCCACGTAGGCTTCCTTCTTCATCTCTTGTTCTGCGCTGACTTTAACAGATTTTGTTTCCACTTCTCGTGGTCGTTCGTCTTTCTCTCCTATATGTCCTTTATTTCCAACAAACTTCGCTTCTTTGCCACCTTTCTCTGTAATAGCTTTCTTCTCAGACATTTTTCCTTGTGAGGTGTGTTCGGTGGAGCTCCGCATCTCAACGTCTTTCGGATTTTTCTAAAACTTCGAATATTAGTAAATCACTTTGTTTTTAAACACCTCAATTACACTACAGATATCTTTTTCAACAGTAAAATTTAATTTTAATGATTATTTGCCTTAGTTTTAACGAGCAAATCGATTATGATCGAAGGAATCTTCTTACTGAAGTCTTCATTCTACATATAACATCATATTCCCAGTAGGTAGAGCATCAGGTAAATAAATGAAATGGGGTGAGAATATGAGTTCGTCGCATGGAGTGTTACGGCCGTACTGATGGAAATGTTTGTTTCTTTATTCTAAGAAGTGGATAGGTCGTATTTATTTTCCAACCTTATGTTTCGTCATAGCATTCATTCTGAGCGTTTCTTCAGTTGTCGTGCGTGCTAATGACTCGATGGCCTTCTTGAGGTCGACCTTCTCCGCCTCGGCGATCACAACACCTCTAATCTTCCTGAAAAGCTCCTCACGCACCGTGTCGGGCATTCTTACTGGATCGGGCACCTAAATGAACGCTAGGAAGTCCGATCCATAAAAATTGCTAGACACCCTTACAAGTACTATTATACCACTGTCAAGGTAAATATCGCGCTTGATTCATTCAATTAGAGCTTACAAGCACTCTATCACTCTGTTACTCAGTGAATGGTTCGCTTCTTATAAGTAGTTTACTTTTGTTTGAACGTTGTATTCTTTGAAAACGATGTTACTTTTCTTTTTTTCGTATAAGTACACGTAATATCTTTACTTTTATTTTTTATCAATCGATGGCCCAGCAAGGCGTTAAATCTGCATTTTTTCCTAGATTTAAGAGATTTCTTTATCCTGAAAGATTCACCAAGATAACTGTTACTCTTGGATTTAATATCTAACGACGAACATTTGATACGTCGATTCCATTTTGTTTCATCACCTCCAACTCCTTGAGCCGATTAAACTCGCGCTCATTAGCCTCTGCGATAGCAAGCTTCATCTTTTCCAGTAGGGTTTTTCCAGGATTGTCGTCGAGTAATTTTCTGGTAAAAAAAATTGTTTCTTTTTTGCTATAAAAAAGTCGGAGCAGTATCTACCTCAGATCACTGTGTTCGGCTCGGTTAAGGAACGTTCGAAGTGTGTGTAAAAATTCTTGTACATGTTCCTCCCTCTCGACGGGAATCTTCGGCTTCTGACTAAGATTATCGGCGTCTTCCGTATCAACGCCATTGCCCAAAATTGCTTTGTCATCTGTGGATTTCTCACCACTTGCCTCATCATCGCAGTCTTCATCGTTCTCCGGCCTGATGTCAGCAGTGGGCTGAAAAAGAAAAGCTTCGAAGTATATTAATATAAAGTTTCTGTCGTATATTTTATCTCAGCAAGAGTTTTAAACATCATTCCTCACAGAATACATTAAACTCTCGTAATAACCTATCAATCCTACTGTCGTCTATCCAAACCCGCAATCACACAATAACTGACCAGATGTGCTGAAGAGTTATAATGTTGAAAATTTTAGTTTCAATTAAAGTCAAGTTTAATCTGATTTCTCATTGCATTGCTAACCATGTTCTTGTTGAGATCTTCGTCAAAGTCCTTTTCCATTTCCAACAATGTTTCTCTATCGGCTTTCTGTTTCTGAAAAGCACTCACATAGTGAAAAGGAAAGCTTTCGTGAGGAAAAAAGGACATAACCAAGTTTAAAGGTGTTACCTCGGATGTTCCGGCTAATGAATCTCTTGGCAGCACCTTTTCCCCTCGTTCTTGTTTCGGCTTTTCCTCATCCTTGTTTTGATTAGCGCTTTCTGTCGTAGTGCTTTCTAGGAGCACTGACTTGGCCTTTTCTTCAGTTTTCTTTTCAACAAATGACATATTTTCCAGTTTCTCGAGCATTTTCTCCATTGTGTTGATAATTTTCTCCAGCTTTTCAGGTTCGATTTCATGGTAGTGCTTTGCAGAATCCTAAAATACAGAGCATCAAAGTGTACCACTTCAATGATTTATCAATGAAAGTTCTTGTAAGTAAGAACTTTTCCTAATTCTTTAATCAATGCGTTTTTCGATTTTTAGGCCTACGATTGAACCGATCCAAGTCCAAATTTGAGTTCGAATTTTGTTTTGGAGTGATTAGTTCTTTTCAAACCAGAGCGCACATAGTAGTTAGTACCGTTTCTAGTGATGTAAATGTTTAATAAGCCTTCACCACCTCACCTCTAAGTCGCTGGGTCTCACTTCCACACCACTTCCTTCATCTGCCGCTATTTCACGAAGAGGTGCTGCATGAGCTGTAGCCGCAATGTCTTTCACGATTTTGGTATTTCTATCTTTTCCATTTATTCCGATTTCTGTGTCGATTGTAGTATCAGGCACTATAGCCTGCTCGGTTACAACTTCCTCAGGATCCTCTGTTTCATTGCTGGATGACTCAGTAGTTTCTTCAAGTACTCTCTCTGAGGAATGAGCTGTTGTTTCCAATAAAACAGGTGTGATCTTATCCGATACTGTCGCCTTCTTTATTTCTGAATTGTCTCTGTGTGAACCAAAAAGGACTGTAATAAAATATAAAGAAATGATCTGATAAAGACGCTGATAAAGACGAAGTCATCGAAAAGTTAGCCGAAATGAATATCTTCATAAAACTCGTGTAAGCTCAACAATTTGAATAAATGAAGAAATGACTTCGAGGAAAACCACATGAACTCAGAGTCTACTAGGTTTCCAAAATACCCAAGTCCAAAGTGAATATTACTGATAGTAGTGTCTCAGAAAGTTTACTCCTGAAGGCAAATCTATCTAAATGTATAAAATCATCTAATGTTTTGGAGATTAACAATATTGAAGAAAAAAGCTCATTTTTTCGAGAAATCACAAGAAATTACCTTCAGTCGTAGCTTCTGAACTTGTTTTCGGCCGAGCATACGTTGATGCTTCTAAAAGTTCTAATCCATCTTCCTTTTCAGACCTTCTGAACTCCACTGTTTCGCTGGACTGAAAAAGAAGCCGCCACAATTGAGTGCCTCCTACGTAAATTTGAATAGATCAAAAGAGGGGGAACAACAGCCGTTACAATGAGTGGTACTGTTGAGGGCATCTGGTCGCCCAGTGGTACGACACACGTTCTCAGCCCATTACAATTAACAATACTGATAGCACCCAGGTATACAAATGTACATGTATGTATAGTAGACTTTCACTTACACTAACTTGTTTTTTGACGCTTGAAAAAAGCATTTAGAAACATTAGAAGCAAAGAAATGTATTTATTTACTGTTATTGGATAGGAAAAAAAGTTTAGTCGAAGACGGTAATGGTGTGATATCTATACTGGACTATTATTCGCGAGCGGATGTTCATTTATATCCCCTCCAGGTGCTATGCGACATTTTGAGCACAGGCGAAGAATTGGATTATTTTCTTGCCTTGCTGAGGTTTTTCAGTACTACTAGCACGGCTACTTCTTCTTCTTCAGAGGTTTCGTTTCTGATGCTTTCCTTCTTGAATAGTTCCCGATCAGTCGAAATGAGTTTCACGTTATCACTCTAAATGTTGAACAAATTCAGCTTATGCGTACCTCCGAAAGACTTGAGGACTGAAAAGCCTACACGGCTTTTTGTTCTCAAGTCGAGGTATACCAATTTAAGACCTGATTCAAAGATGTTTGAAATTCACTCTGTTTCTTAGGAATCGATATTTTGTCCCAAAGCATGTCGTTTAATCATAGACACCGTGTGCTGCATTTTTCAAACAATCGTTTTTACCAAAGCAGCGCCACAAATCTACATAATAGCGCGTATTTTAAAAGGATAGGAATTTTGGCATTGATCAGCTTTTTCAGGTTGTCACAATTCCTCCAATGGAGTAGTGATTGTGAATCCGGATTCTCTAAGGCGAGCTCACCAGATGTAGCGATGGGCATTTCTGAAAATGGCGAAAAGACAGTTTCATTTTTTTTGCGGAGAAACCAGCTTCCAACTGACCATCCTGATTGGATGAGAGGGATCGCCCGAAAGGTGGCATCGAAGATTATATATACAGAAATAGAACGTCAGTGCACTAGCTCACCCTTCCTTCCATTGATTTAAAATAAAGCTATTTCCTACAAATGTGTGTAAAATCGTTTTCACTGTGGCACACCACCCGTGATTGCCTTCAGATAGGCCACTACCCAAGCCAAATATTGCGAGTAATTTGACTACTAATAGACTTTGTAATTCGTATGAAATGCTGAGATATTTGCAAAACTCCGGTCCACAGGTGTATGCAGTGGAGAACGAACACGCCCTGTTGTCCTTACCGGGAAGCAGCGCACTTCACCACTACACCATCCGGGTCCTTCACTTTGCATGTCTCTCAGCTAGTTCTATCGATCTTTTTGCCATCACCAATCACCCGTCAACGGGATTGCAACCGGGAGAACTAGCTGAGAGACATGCAAAACGAAGGACCCGGATGGTGTGGTGGTGAAGTGCGCTGCTCCCCGGTAAGGACAACAGCGCGCGTTCGTTCTCCACTGCATACACCTGTGGTCCGGAGTTTTGCAAATATCTCAGCATTTCATACGAGTTATAATTCGAAACATAACGTGCTATTAAGAAGAAAAAGGCAGTAAATAAAAGAGTTAAGACCTTGTAATCTTACCTCATCACCGTAGCCTTCCTGTGACGTATTCTTCGTTGATTCTTTTCCAACATCAGTTGCAGTCCAGACACGAAAGTATTTCATTAGTTGCTCCACCTTTCTCCAAAGGTAGTTGCCCGATCGTTGTTGCTAACAATGAGTTTTTTCTCGGATGCTATATACAAGCACTCTGTACAATTCTTGTCCTTACCTGTTTGTGTATCTCGCTGTCTCGCTCACAGATGAATCTCACGCGTGAACGAGAAGCGAGTTCACAGTCAACGTCATCCAGAAGACGTGAGTGCACTCGTAGAAGGCCACATCGCTCTTTGCCATCAACAGAGTGGTCGAACGGCTCGCCGGATATCCATGGACTAAAATATGTTGATTTATTTATATCAAATGACAAGACATTTGTGACCAAGCAAAGTCCAATTTTATCTAGTGGTCACACTCTAGTTTAATGACCTTGGATTTACAATGTTTACCGTCGTTTCGATGCTCAGCCTTATCTCGTACTCTTAAAAGTGTTTAAAAGTGTATTCTCAGTGCTGTTGTTTTCTGAATCGAATTGACAGAACGAAAGCTGATATAATATCAGTAATAATAAGGAAAGTTTTCACGTCTAACAGTTTCTACAATTGACACTACCTGAGTGAATCTGTGGATCTTTTTAGAAGGCGACGTGTGCATTCGGAATGACCAAGCCCAAAAAAGTGATTCTGTTGCACTCAGAAAAACGAATTGTCTCCAATCGACAACAATGCGGATACATTTGGTTTTTTCTGCTTTTGCCCCTCCTCATTAGAATATTACTTTATTTGTTTGTCTTAAGTATTCCATACGAGTACAAATGCATACCGTCTCTTAATGGCTAATAGAAGTCGGATCTATCAGGTTTATGCTTGCCATTTCATCTTCTTGGAAGATTTAATTTAAATAACAGTCATCAACACGATAATACTCACATAAGGGACCGATCATACTTCGAACCGTTGACATAAGTCCAATTGTGATTTGCTCCATCAGGAAGGAAGAGACCAATCTACAATCATTGACAACATTTTTTGTAAGGTATTCTATCAATATGGGGATTTTACCTGAACAAAGCGCTCAGAAAACCGAGGATAGGTCGGAGCGTAGTGGCTGAGCAACCAATTCTAAAAGTAGCATTAAGGTGTTCGGTTGCGGAATCCAAAACTGGGAACTCACAATTTGTTCTTTGTCTCGCAGAGTAACTAGGTCAGAATTCTGTGATAAACAGAACTCTCTGGCTGCTAGCCAACTCTGATAACCGGAGTGAAACTGATAGAGAAAGCCGTTTTGGGCTTGGATCCATTCCTTGGTTACATGATGGCTATTGTGATTGAACTGAAACAATCACTTTATGGAGAAGGTGAACAAGAATTCCTCCTAAAAAATTGGATCAAAAGCAGCCTTCTTGAGAAGGTAGAATTAGGATATGTATTGGGTCAGGAACTGACCAAAGTTTTTACATCTGTATCATCATCATTATCATCACCGTCGTCATCACCATCACCATCTCCGTCATCATCTTTTTACATCTTTCTCTTGAAGAAATAAAATCCAAGTAAAGAGCTTATTTATTTATTTTTATTTCACTTAACCCAGCTCACGTCTACTGTACGGATCACAGCATTTCTTACATTCATTTCATTTCTATGCATTTTCATTTCCATCAAGTTTCCACGAAGATCTTCCAACTTTACGTATGGCTTTGGTTGCTATTTGAGCATTTTCATTTCATCTCGAGCGTCGTAGAATGCTGGTCGAGCAATATTCTCCCTAGAGTCCTGAGATAGCCGGGCTGGAGCGTTCCCAATTGGAATGCAGAGAATGATTTTTTTCCCAGACAAGTCCACTATCAATTTCCCGACCCCGCAGGAATGAGAGGTTTGGTTCGCTCCATACGGAAGCAAACTAATACGATGCTCGTGGTGACGGACATCATTACCACTGTGCTATTCGCCCCATCAAGAGCTTAATAGTCCACTTTGATACTGGTAATGTGTAGAAAACTTTATCACAACAGTTACACCATTTACTAGTCAAGTGAGCTACAACGTTTAGACATATTTATACAACAGCTAGATTCTCATGTCTCAGAAGTGGAACGAACAATTTGTTTTATTGGTTACCACTATCGAAATAAATTACTCATCTCCAGAAAGTCGATGTAGTTGACGAACGCAGCCATAAAATGACATAATAGAACATTAAAGCAACAGCATCTTTTCGATAGCCGACAACTCAACTGAATCTGCAGACCGCAACGACTCCCTGGGATGCCGCTCGAAGACGCTGAGGTTCCAATAGAGTTTCAGTATGGTAAAAGATATTCATTAAGTTTCTTGCGCCAACTAGGATTCGCTAGAATGTGGTCATGAATGCGATTGATGAGTGAGACACCGTTCCATCTACACAATCTTTACCGAACTGCTAGCTGTCAGCGCTACTGCATCCATGGTGTGAAGGTTGCTAAAGATCGACAAATTTCCATAACAGAATAGATATGATTACTTCTGGGACTGCAATCATAAATCAATCATAGATAACGTTGCAAATTGGAATTATATTCGAGCAGAATATCAAATCTAATGTCAAAAGCATTCTTTACAAACGAAACTCGTGGTCAGCAATGATCTGCAGCTCGACTCAGTAATTAGCAATAAATAGGGGCAGCATCTAGCGAACTGGTCAAGGGTGACCTGCAATACACTGGTCTCTGGTTCGACCCGCACTCCAGGTATGCCGTACCTTCCATTTCGCAAATGTTTGGAAACTGGCGCCATTCGATATATCGGTTGGCCATCTGCAGGCCAAATATACATCCAGTTACCTCTACAACGGTTCATTGAGTATAGTGCATGGCGCATTCCTTTGGGATTGATCAAGCCCGAGCTATTCACCATTTATTTGGTGATGATGAGGATGACGCAGACATCCATAGAGTTTCTGCTGTTTTCAGAACAAAGTGAATGTGAAAGCTAAAGACTGTTTAGTGCTGAGAGTATTATCTTTGGTTCCATGTAATATATTCATGTAATGTTTCCGTAACTATCTATAACTCTTAAGAAGAAAAATTGCAGAAAGACTGTTTTTAAACCAGAAATTTAGTGCAAATAGTCAAATAATAACCTTAGCCAGGTGAGCACTCACAACCACATCTTCATCACTTGAGTCGAATTTGATGCTAGTAGCTGGATTCAGAAGCGTTACAGCGACGACGATAACAGTCGCTAAAGGCCCACGACCCATCTGAACGAATCTGAAGCGTGAAATTACTCCGATATAGTTTTTTGTAGGAAATGTACCACCCCACAATGAGACAGTAGACGGTGACGAAAAACAAATACGGTATTAGAAGGCAGCGTGATAGTCACGTTGAAGTGTAAACACTTCATAGTGGCTCTAAACGAGATGTCTGGAAATGTCCTAGCCATTGCAGCTGACGTTCAATAGTGAATACATATGGCCTCGTCAATAGGATATTCTGAAGCAGTCAACGAGAAACATAAGGTATCGACTACTGAGGCAGTTAAGTTCTTGCATACTTCTCCTTTTCTCAAAAACACTTCGTAGTGGTCTGTTGGGAATCGATCTTCTTTAAATAAGAAGCAGTTGCTTAGAAGCAGCACTGTTTTTCCATTATCCCACTGAGACAAGTTTTTTTTGGTACTTTTCGTTTGGCTTTAATAAACGTCTACGATATGACTCAATACGACTCACATATGCCGAAGACTTGCATCTCAGTTTTAAACAAGCATAGTTTTCCTCTCACTGAACTTTGTTAACTGAAGTAAAAAATTAGAATTTACGGAACTTTGCCAGTAAGGCGTAACTTTTCGCACCTTATAAAAAGAAATATAAACTTCAGGGAGCTTAATGATTATTTTTTTTGCCTCTGCTTCCTGTTGTCTCGGTGCAAAGCGCAAAGTTTCTTCTATAGACCTGCCAATTGTTTAGCACTTCGACGTTCTAGTTATCGAAAGATTATCGGCATTGTCGAAGAACTCACGTTGTCGCTAATATTTCAAACAGTGACCAGATTAGCGATTTATCGCCGCAGATAAGTGCAAAACAGAGGCCTCGATTGGTGTGGTGGATAGAACGTGAGCCCAGGTAAGGGTAATTGCTGGTTCAAAGCTCAGCTGAGGTTCCGATCATATATCAGCACCCTTGTGATTGTATTTAACATAGCTAAATTTGTGTTCTTCGTTGTTCGTGGTGAGTCTTAACCAAAATGACCGAGAACCTTTCCCAGAAAATTTTTGTGGTTCGCAGGCAGAAAAAGTGTTTTGCTTGCTAGAAACACATTCTGTTACAAAATAATTATTCTTTTTTGGTAAGTTTTGTTCGTAGCGTTTCCTTCGATGTTTCGTACTGATGTCCCCTTTCATTGAAATAAAACCACTATTTTTTGAGAAGTGGGTTAACTGTAACTTCATTTACATACCTAGATGGATTTCTGACTACGGTAATTAGAAATTTTAGCCCTTCAGAAAGGTTTGCTAAAGTTGCAATTGTACTATAAACCTTCGCGAAACTGAAATGTTGCAAATTCATGACTTCGGCTTCACCTGGATTAATGCAAACAGCCTTAGAGTTTACATCCTTCGAATTGCTGCAAGGTCATTTTACAAGGCTTTGCTGTGCTTTTGCGGTGAACGGCAGTGTGGTAATCACCGAACGGAAACGAATGAGGAAAATTTGAAGCAGTGGAATATGCAGTGCTCGTAACCAAGGCGTTTCTTGGTGCTAGATTCGTTTAATATTATTCCAACAAGCGTCTTAACGATGATAGTCATTTTTGACAGAATCGTTTGGACGGCTGAGGTTGAAGCCAAGGATACCTCTCTGAAGCAACCAACGACTTATAAAAGAATTCGCTTTTATTTTAAGAAAGCTTCGATAAGGAACAATGACAGCGCTTCATGTTCTACGCAACTTCCCACGGATTCTCTGCTCTACTCTATTCATTTTCACTCTACATATTTATTCATTTTTAAAAAGAAAACTTTGCAAAGCATGCAGCAAAATCTGCACAGTTGCCTACTTGATACTACTTGAATGGCCCGTCCTCACTGGATGTGCGGGCTCCAGCATAATCTCCATTTTTCGGAGATTTGCTGATTATTGTAGTTTCCTGGAGTCCCGATGTCAGCTTCCAAGCCAAAGTCTGCCCCAGGTCTTCACCACCACGGGCAGTCTCCTCCCTTTGTGGGTTAAAGGAAGATTTGAAAACATGCAACTAGTTTGATACCAGGACAGTGATGGGTCCTGGTGTTGGTTTACTCATAGCTGGGCTTCCTGATGGAAACGTCGGACTCGTTCCCAGCTCGCGAGACTCTGCCGGGGGGATGAATCGCCGCCTAACATCTCAGCTCGACACCCAGGCACACCTCCCAGCCTCTATGAAGCAGTAAACCGTTGGGAGGAATCTGCACAGTCACACACAGAACATTTACAAGCTAAGTTGGACTGTCGTACCCTATCGTGAACCTTTCTCATTTCAACTGCTATATACTTGCAAAACTTAAAAATGCGAGAATTCTCTGTAAAGACATCAACCTTGCAAAATCTGGTTATGATTATTTGCAAAACCTCGTAAGTTCAAATGAGTTGTTTGTTTACTGCGAATGTTTTTAAACAGTTCTTACACTTTACTAAGCAGTTTTGTGGAATTTCCACCTTTGTCGAGGAGAGAAAAAAAGGCGATTAGATCAAAGTGGTGGAACGAAGTTTCATAAATCTTTGACTGATAACCCTAACCTACATTTGTCGTTCAGCGGGTTCTGCTAGCTGATGAGCGAGGAAAAAACAAGAAAAAACAACTCATTGGAAAACCGGATAAGAGATGATGTTCAGGAGATTCAAGAGTAAATCACTTCCCATTGCTGACGCCACCGACGACTACCATTGGCCAGAGTTCTTCATCAGCCATAGAATACTGTTCTGAATGTTAAGTTCTCCACGAATTATTAAACCATGTGATAGTAATTTGTTCAAGCTGAAGGTCTTCGTCAACGTTTAATATATAGAGACATAGGCATACACACATATAGAAAGCTTCGAAAATTGAATAGGTCACGTTCTGCAGTTACCCTTTTTAGTGGAAGACGAAAAATCGAAAACAATGTGGCATAACGTGGTCTTAACTGAGGAAATGTGAAATCATTCCAACTATTTACTGCTGCTTAGTCCTGCGCAAACTTTGGCATGAGCTCAAACAAAAGAGCATAAGAATCCCCTTCTCTCCTCATAGGAATCTAGAAAGGATCTCCTCAGCGACTCTGGAGGCAAGGAAGAACTTTCCACATATCAGAGCAAAAAAATTTGATTCGTGAGGCAAAATTCATTGAACGTATGAAAAAGGGACACCGTTCGACACAAGTGTGGGGTCAAGACGGAAATCAGGTCAACTTGGCGAGGGTGCAGCTGTCGGCCAACCTCACGGTTTCCCGTGGAATTTCGTCACTAAAAGTGCTAACCAGGTCAGATTTCGCGTCTCAGGATAGTAGCCTGCAAAAAATATCTTTAAAAACCTACCCAAATAATACTTCAATGGTTTGCTTTAAACTTCTCTCTCTTCCTACATTCGTTTCGTTGAATTAAAAAAGTTATTTTAAGGGTTTCGGAATTCTGGCTGTTCATTTTCGAATTTACCCTTGTCGAACCGAGGGCTAAAAAAATTAACTGATATCTGCTTGTCTTCAAAAATAGTACTTATGCCCTAAAAACTGAAAGATTACCCATTCGAGTTAATGTATTCAAATAAACGGTGATGCTAAATTAACGGCTGTAGTAGGTTTAGTAGTTTCCGTTGAGGCAACAAACACTACCAGATACATAATTTGTTCAAAAAGAACAATGAAGAAATGAAGCGAAGAAATTTTGAAAGGGCTATGTAGAGGATCCAGTGCGTCATAAACGAGGAAAATAATTAATAAAGCGCAAATAGAGTAAGGAGCTTTTGTGAAGAACTCACAGCCGTAGAGCTCAGTCGAAGGGAAACCTGTTTAGGCTAGGATTTCCTTAAATCCTAGAG